ATGAAACCCCCGCATTCTTGAGGATCGTCTCGGACCTTATCCCCGCCTTCTTGGCACGGAGTTCCGCATGGCCATGGGTCGAGGACGTTGGGCCGCGATCAGGCTGCAAACGGGACTTAGCATTTAAGCCCCCTCCTTCAGGCCCTTTGTCTGGATCTCTTCAAGATTCAGTTTTATGATATTCGCATATGTAGGATTGGCTCACACCGTTCTACCTCCATTACGTTGGCCTTTCGCTACCAAATTCTCTACCTGATCAACTATCATTGTTCTATCAGACAGCCCTTACCCTTACACCTATGATATGCACATTTTCTCTGGATTTTAGGTTGTATAGTAGAATAATGAGGCCATATAACAAATTGTGGCTGTATAGGGCGTTCCAGTCGTTTCACATGTCAAAGAAACTCTAGCGATGGCCGAGCTTTAGGAATGAGTTTGAGTGAATTAATATTGTTATTTGCGGTCTATGGCGTAGATAGGACTAGCGAGGATAGCCTGGGGCCGCCCTAAGTCTAAGGAATAAGGAAGCAAACTCACTCAATATGAATACATATAGTCATTCTCGAGATTGCCTTGACTTGTACACACTGAGACTCTCATCCTCGGGCCCACTGCCAAGACCTTAGCGCAGATCATTCATTAGGCCCGCATCATGAAGTTGCGGTCCGTTATAATGGGCCCCTTAGCTAGTACAGCGACTATCAACGTGTACCCCACATTCAAAGCGTGCGACGTATTCTTTCTGAGGGAGAGATACAATACCATACAAGGTTCATTGCGCAAGGGCCTCAACTTAGTGTGACTAGCCCAATTAATGATCTGCGCTAAGGTCTTGGCAGTGGGGTCGGGAATGAGAGTCTCAGTGTGTACAAGTCAAGGCAATTCGAGAATCACTGTACACACACGCACATATACACATACTGTATTTAAGTGAGATTATGAAATACTTTTAGTTGTAGCTTTTGGCAAAACTCAAGTTAATTTGGCTGCCGTATAACACCCAGCTTCTATTTAGCGTCTTTTGTGCCCCAGACTGTTACACGCAGGAACAGTCGACAGCCCCTATAATCCGTAAACCCTTTAGTAATGGACTAAACGACTGACAAGGTAGAAAATAGAAATTTGCTAGAGGAGTCCTTACCATGCATTGGATGACCAGTAAGTGGTTTTGGACCCTCTCTGTCTACCTTCATAATTGATGTTTGTGGTGATTCAGCTTCAGCTGTGAAGGTATTTTTAGACCCTGGGGTCGTCGGACAAGAGAAGCCTATTTCCAATTCGGGGTTATTTGGGGCGTTCAGCGCGTACCTGACAGAGCCTTTGGTTCCTCCAATTCCTAGAGCGTCTTTGAGGACAAACTGTTGGGATGTTCCTCCTATAATGACAGCTGGAGGTTCAACTTCCCACGTCGCTTTGTCATTTTTAGTCTTGCTTTGAAGCATAAGTGACGTTTTGCACTTGTTCCAAACGGTCACATAGCAACTAAAATCCATGGTGGCTGATTATAAAAAAGACTTGCTTCAGAATGAATATTTCCAAGGACTTGAGATTGTTAATGTAACTGAAGGACCCAGCCACTTAGATAAAAAGTTCTCTAGAGATAAAGCTCAAAAACCTTTAGGAACTGAGGCGATCTTGATATCACTATGACCTCGAAAATAGACTGTATTTAAGGTAATGCGGTAATGATGTCACCCTGACCTAGAAAATAGACTGTATTTAAGGTAATGCGGTAAGGAGAAACTTTATAAATTCCATTCTGTGGCAATATTCATAATTCACACGAATGGAAACTTATTTGAAAGCCTAAGTGAATCCACTCGTGACTTACCAGTGCCCATTTTTAGGCCTGCTCTAGATCTTCCCGAGGTGGTCAAATTATCCAAAAGCGTAGTAGATATTACTATCGTATTAGTCAACTGGGTCTTCAAGCTCCTGCTATGTGTCTGCAAACGATGCCTATTGCACGAAACTGAACCTGAAAGCGGACAAAAATACACTATCGCAAGGCTCATCACGAGCATCCATGACGTTGATTTTGAGTCCGTCATTGTGAATTCTAAGTGTCTTAGATTAAGGTTAACCTTTACATGTGGTATTTTTATCTTCAGAATTATGGTTAATTATGGTTAATTATTAATTATGGTTTACATACTCAGTAGAGAGGGGTTAATACATTCGGAAATAGTGATAATAAATAGCTAGAATTTTGGATTTCATGATCTTCGATCCTGAGTTAGCCAATCGCCAATCAGAATCACCTAGGCTAACCCAGGTTGGGGAGTCCCAGAAACTTTAGATATGGCATTAAATGTAGGCCTCGAAATAGTGCGGTTCTGTGGTTCCAGGACTTTTGAACCGTATAGTGAGAGGCACTGACGGTACTCCTATAGGACGGTACATTCACCTAGTCTATCCCTCATACCAGTCTCTTCACCAGTCTCTTCACCAGTCTCTTCACCAGTCTCTTCACCAGTCTCTTCACCAGTCTCTTCACCAGTCTCTTCACCAGTCTAGACCTTGACAAGTACTGCAGTACCAAGCAGATTTTGGTACTGTTTATCGGTACTGCAGTACCTCACAGTAGTATCGATATGGTACTACAGCTGCATAACTTGCCAAGAAATTACCTATTTCGGATATATAAAATGCTGATTTAGCCGTATAAAATCGTATGATCTTGATCTTATTATTTACCACTTATTACTACTTATTATTAGTAATTTTTAGTAATTGCTATTTATTTATACTATTTACTTTATATATTTTGTATAAAAATAAAAGAATTAGATAGTTTTTATAATTATTTTGTAGTGATTTTAGTAGTAGAAGTGTGACCAAGAGATATACATTTTGAACTTCAGATTCTACACCACTTAAATTTTCCGTACTTTCTTTTGAAATATACTAATAACGCGTTTTTTCACGCGTTTTCTTATATAACTAAGTAAGAATACTATATAGAATCATTTAAATAATAAGAAAATACGCGTTTATAGGGATAACTACTGTAAAGGAAAAGCGCTATGGATGCGGAACCAAGATCTTGATATACATTTAACTTATTTGTCTCGAGCTTCTTTAAGGGTTGCCAAGGATTGACCATGTGATCATCCTGACAACTGCCAGTGTCCGAAAGAGGGCTCGGAAGCTAGCTGAACACATCGTCGTGACAGACACGATTCGGGGACGAAGAGGTACAAG